AAAAAAATGAGATGAATTAATTTCACTTTTAAAGTTGTCGTTAAGTCTTGTTGCCGCATAGCTTTAAGTCTCCCTCATATTTACAGAAAAACATGTAAATAGTGTGAACGCGTCGTTAGTTGCTGGAGTGTCTCTCAACGAGCAGATGGATGTTCACCACGCCGTGCTCTGTATGGCTCTAGTCTCTACTCTTTACTGAGTTAGCTAACTGTCTTTTTAAAGCCGATGGAAATGTTTGTGTGCAGAATTCGAGGGTTCTTGCTCACGACATTGAGCATCTCCTAGAGGATCCATCTGCAATGGCCTTCTTCATTCATTTCCTGGAATCATGCGGTAATTATTCAGCAAAAAATCTCGATCTCAGCTGTGTAAGCGTTTATATGTGCTTCAGATAAACTGAATCTTATAAAATTTTGGATCCATGTTAACGGATTCAAAGCATCTTTTGAGCAGGGATTATCTGACTGTTCTCAGAAGGTCGAAATGTCCCGTAAGTTTCTCATACATTTTGTTTGTTTCGGTCATAACCTCTATACTATGTATTTTTATTTTTCTTATTTTCCGTTTATTACTTGGCATGGAGTTTTGCTTGTATCAAAAAAGTGCCCTATAATTTTCTATCTTTCTGCCAAACCTATAAGTTTCTACAAGAGTTATCCCTAGATTTTTTTGAGAATAAGAATATCTGCAGAACTGCCATCCATCAGTTTCCTTTACCAACTTCTTCATCTCTCTATGACCATGAGACCTCCACTTTTAGAAGTTTAGTTAGAAGAGAAATAATATGACGAGAAAATTACCAATTTTTGAATTCCATGATTAGGTAAGGAAGTACGGCGACTTAGCATCATCCTTTCAAGGGATGCCGCCTTTCAAATCTGAACGTAGGCGGCCCCGCCCACGGCTTACTCCTATTGGTTCGCCATTGCGCGTGATACTGCACCTTGCCCTACTACCACAGCGCTTTTTACCAAGCATAATATGGGGAGGACCTTTTGCTTATGGCCCAAAAAGGACGCTGAGGAGAAAGTTGAAGCCTCAAACCATGCAAACGTAAACCACGTTTGCACGGTTTGTCGCCTTCTGCATGCTTCCATTCAAAGACCACACATCAAGGCGTGAACAGTCAATAAAAGAGAGTGGGCAGAGCGCTACGTGCAGAACCGAAAGGCGGCAACCCTTTGATGGGAGGATGATGCGTGCCCTCCAGGAAGTACCTGTTGTTGATCAAACTTCGAACTAGAAAAGCAACAATATGCATCAACCTAGTTGAATACGAAGATTGCACTTACTTGCACTTTTGCTTGAAGCCAATCATGTATGCTTTCATATTTATTCTCATAAGTTGATCCAACTGAACGCTAGTTTTCATCGTATCTGATATCTAATTGGTCATTTCAGTTGCTCTATTGGATGCTCGGAATATCTATGACAGATATATCGATAAAGAATCTTCCACCAGCTTGTCATTTCCTAGAGCTATTTCTCAACGGGTTTTAGGTATTTATTCTGAAAGCTGTTTCAGAAGTCGTTAGCATTCACATTAATTTCAGACAGAATATCTGAAGAACGCATAGGATCAGACATTTTCGACGAGGCTAAAGATTTTGTCAGTAATTTATTTGGAAAGCGGTCAGTTCTAGTAGATGTTAATTGCCTGCTTCTGGCCGCTATCAATATACCTTTCAGCTATTTCAAAGACTTCAAGGACAGTATTTATTATAAGAAACATCTTTTACAAGTATTTTCTCGAGGTTGCAGTTTAGATGATATCTTGCTTGTACCTGCATTATTGAACGCTTTTCTAGAGGTTAGTTTAGCTTTTTCTTTCGATGAGGGTCGTATTTATGCATTTTGTTTTCAGTTTATCGATGATCAACAAGATCGAAACTGTATCGAATTTTTATTGGCATGTAATACATTTGAATCAAATTATGACACCCTCTCCGATGAAGAATTGCTTGAGGACGCCGTATGCATCTACGAGAAGTATGCGCCATCTCGAAATACACATATTCTATTTGCACGTTTGGAGTTGACCATTCAACAGGTATTGCTCCATGCAAGCAGTATCATCTCTTCATCTTGACGATCACGTTCGGCAAGTGATGGAGTCGGAAATCTGCTCAGACAGTGGACGCCCATCACGTTCATCGTTTCTTACTGCAAAGCAGTCCTGTATACGTAGATTAGTCAAGGTAAATGTTTTTAGCATCTTACGATCTCAATATCACCTTTTCTTCTTCTTAAAACAGTGAGCATGAAAATAAGAAAAACGTCAGCATAATCTGGGAAAAAAGATCTAGTTCTTAGACCAAACATCTCTCAGGAAAGATTTTTTAGTGGGAGAATGTGAAAAAAAAA